TTTGTGCAGAAATGTAGGTAGCAAAAGTTAAACCTAACCACAATGGGTACATTTTTATCAAAAATATCTATATCTATATCTATATCAAAACCCTTCAAATCTCTTGAAACAAAATCTAATTTGTACTAGTTCATATGTTATGTATCATTCTGACAATGGGTTACCGTGTAACCTCATGCCTGAGTGTATGAAGCCATTCTCAAAGGGAGAGAGAAAATAATCCTCACTTTGCTTTTAAGGTCCGAACCACCATTAACAAACCCATTAGTGAAGAGGAAAAAGAGCTTACAAATGTGACTAAAGTAGGGAAATCCTTTCTGTGATTCAGGAAGCTAAATATTAGTCTTGTCTGCAAGGCTCTATTTGTTTCAGTGAAACTCTGTAGAAAAAGATATACAATATACAGTATGCATGTTAAAACAGACAAACATAATGAACAACACACGTTAAAATTTTAACATCTAAAATTAAAAATTCGTTAAGATAGTAAATTGTATATATATACCAGATTTTGTCTATTATTCTTCAAACTTATTTTATATGTAGTACATTGCTTACAGATTGTTTTTAAATCTCCATCCTGACTGATCTGAAACTATAAACAAGTGTTCAGAAGAAATAAATGTGAGCTGTTGATATTGAGCCTGGCTCAATATCTTAAAAGATATTTTGGAATTTACCATGAAAGTTAAATTATATGAATTTGATTAATTATTTTAAGGTGAATACACTTGGTAACATGATAACTATTAAATCTGTGAGGATATTATATGCACCAGATATAACATACTGTACTGTAGATTTTTTGTCTTGTGTTTTTGTCTATAGACTTAATCCTAGTTGTGCCTGACAGTGAGTATAGCATATATTGTATACATAGTTAAAAATAGTAAAAACAGAACATTGCTTTTAATACAAAACATTAAAAGAGAAAAATTGATGTATTTTGGATTTTTTTATTTATTTAGAAAGACACAATATACCAATTACTGCAAACCATTATTCAAGACATTTAAGGATGGACTACAATAGATTTTAAATACAGTATTTAATTGCAGATTTGTAGTTCTAAGAATTTCCTTTCTAGATTAAAGAAGACAAAAATAAATTTGATTACAATGATTACAACTGATTTACAATGCAAAACATTCCTTACAGTATTTATTGGCATTCAATGTATTCTTTATGATAACCCATCTTTTCTGAATAGAACGTTTTATCTACGGTAAGCACAAGCTTGTCTCTGAGCTGGAAGCCTTGTTATCACCCCATGAAACTGCCAGATACACTCTTTATCTACAGCTGGCTGCAGGCAGATGTTAGAAGAAACACTGTTTAAAGAATTGCTTCACATTTTCAGAGGTTTACACAAAAGGGGCCCCTTCTTACAAAAGCAGGTTCAAAAGATTATTTAGATGTATTTTCCCATTGTTTCTTTATTAGCCCTATACAATTTCTTGCATTAGGAATGCGTCTTTTCGCATACCCCAGCTTTTCTCCATGGAGACACAGACACAGAGACAGGGAGAGAAGCTTGGGGTCAGAGTGCAGGGTCTGCCATTGTACGGCGCCCCTGGAGCAGTTAGGGTTAAGGGCCTTGCTCAGGGGCCCAACGGAGTAGGATTCCTCTGCCGGCCACGGGATTTGAACCTGCAACCTTCCAGTCACAGGCGCAGATCCTTAGCCGCAGAGATGTTGACTCTTTTAGGATAGGAGCTAAACCATTATTGAGCACTGCAACCAGACCAGCAACATCAGGGACCGAAACAGGAAAGGTTTTGCTGCTTGTAATTGGATTCTCCTGTTTTCTCAGAATCACACATCAGAAGCAAACACACTTAAACTGCTAACTGCAGTTTATATTGGAGTCATAGCTCTTAATCCTACTGCAGGAATTCATACCAAAATGGATCTGTGTCTTTTACAGGGAAAAAAATGTGTTCAGGTGCCACTTACAGTAGATTAGGAAAACAATTTCTAACATACTGTATTGTGAGAGCTGGACAATCACACATAAACACATTTCAGATTGCAAATAATGCAACAAGTGTCAGAAAGGACATTTGAATCATGTTAAATAGAAAATACAGGACACACAGCAATCTTGTGCTGTGTAATGTCAGAGGAGTATTTTGATTGGAGATTGTAGTGCTCTTATATATATTTTTTTATTTGGGTACTAAAGTGTACATACATTTGAAAAAATTATAATGCCATGTACAATTAAAAAATAATTAAATTATTTTAAAATAATTTCAGGAGTATGTAAAATTATACAAAATAGCAGTACTGATATAATTTAAAGTAAATTAATTCAGGGATTAAACAGACAGGTCTATATATTGACTGCTTGTGTCATGTACAGTATCTTACTCTTAGTCTTTGAGATTGACCTTTTCAGATGAACATTTACAGTTCATGTCATGTGTCCCTTATTTATAATAAAAAAAACAAAAAGGCTTGTCTACACAGTCCCTCTTGGCATTAAACATTGATACAGATGGGAATTTAGTTCAATAAAATCCTGGAATTTGCCCTGAAAACATAAGCATCATCCACTCATGCTAGTTTCAAAAGCTGTTGGGTTTATGGGATTACTGATGAAGAGGATCTGTAACAAAAATCAAATACTGATTTATAGTGAGAATGCTGGTGTTTCCAAAAAGTTCAATAGGTTTTTCTGTGAAATGGTTAATCAGGAATTGAATGTACACTGATATCATACACTGATTTACCTATTGCTAAGTAACATTAACTTGCCTCTGTTTCAAGTACAGTAGCCAAAGTGTTTTCCTTCTCATTAACAACAGGGGTATGCTTTATATACACATTTGATTAATGTAAACTGCATTCAGTGGAGCCAAGTGATCTTGCAGAAGCACAATAAGATAAAAAGAACTCCTATTGGCTATAAGATGAATATACAGTAAATGCTTCCTCAACACTATTAGGAGTTTGCAGGGACAATATGACCTATCACCACAACACACGATTTAAAAATGAATTTTAATTTTATAAAAACTATACAGTATATCACAAAGTTAAAGGCAGGCTAAGTGATCTCAGATGTTAGGGATTCAAACATATGCTTATACAACTAGACCACAGTGGTAGGGATTCCTACAGTTGTGCAATGCTTCTTCACATGAGTAAGAATTGCAGGTGTTGGATGAGTTTGAGTTGACCATGTTAGTTTACTTATCAGGTGCTTGTGAACTTACTGTATAGTATCATCATGGAAAGGCACACCTCTACTCCAGTGAGTGCTAACTCTCCTGTAAGGCACAGAGGTCTATCTAAAGTTGAAATATGTTTTTCCAATTTCATAAACAAGACACGAGGCCAGAACTGAGTACACAACCTTATATCAGCCATGGAAGTGCTTAAAAGAGAGCACGAGTTATACTGCCTGGAGTGTACTGTAAGTGCCTCCAGTTGGTTGTTAGTAGGTTGTCATACTGTCTATAAATTATATTTCTGGTGTAACCATCAATTCATGGAAGCACAGATATAAGCATAGCATATGATGCTGTTTCAAAATATCATTATTTCTTTAAATATTATTTCCAATAAGATACTGGAACTTGACATTCTTAGCCAGGAGCAATGACCTCTGGCTTGAGCAGTCATACAGTATTAACTGTACTACAGTAGATGAACTGAAATGGGGTTAGCTCTACGAGGGCTCGAAAGCAGTTATAGGAATCTGTGAGTTATTGATGCCAATGTAACACTATCTGCTGGGCCCATGCTGGTCAACGCCATGAGCAGCAGCTCTACTTTTTACTGAAGCTGAATCCCCAGGGTAGACACATCGGAATGAAAACTGCCTCTTGTCTGCTGTTTGCCCCTGCTCCTAACGGAAAACGATTTTCTATGTATTCCCGTACTATTTGTAATTACCATTCTACTGTTCACAAACACTGCATTACCTTAAACCACAGGGAAAAGTGGCCCAAATACATACCGAATACATAACAGGCTTTACAGCATTGGAAAATATACTCCTTTATTTTGAAAAAGAATTCCCCATTTTGAAAAAGAATGGGGAAAACAACGTATTTTCAAATTTGTTTAATTAAAGAGTGAAAAGTAAAACCTGAAAGCAACACCAGAAATACCAAACAGAATGAAACTTAGAAATATCACAAGTTTCTATACTTAGAAATATCTCACATCTACAGTACTTCTACATCTACTGTAATTATAATTAAACAGAAAGTAATTGGGATCAATGAAGTTTTCTTCGGGTGGCAACTACTGTATTTCATAACTCATGTACCATAAATAGAGTGAACAAAACCAAACAGGGGTCTCTTACAAACTACTGAAAAACTCAGATAAAAGAGGCCAGCTAGAAGAACAATAATGACATTGGTGCTTATATGATATCTCTGACCGCCTGACTTCACCAACACTTGTCTACTGCCACATTTTAAGTGACCTGTAAATGATGTTTAGGTCACACCTCCTATTACAACATCCAAGTGAATGTTTCACATAAGCCAAGTCTTAGAATCACAGACACACCTTGTCATTTTCAAGACAAGGAAAATCTTTGATGTTGTTGACATGCTTGGGAGAAAGCACAGAGAATAAAAATAACCCACAGAAAAAAATCATAATATATTGTATTTACAAACCAGGAAAAAAGCTGAAAGTGAAAATTTCCAACTGTATTTATTCAGCAACGTATGCCCTACTGTCTATATTTGTGTCTGGCCTATTATGTCTCAGACTTTCAAATCCAACGTATGCATGGTGATCTGTTTATTTTGTGACACTACATGGGATATAATCCATGAATAACCCATCTGAGTCAATCATTAGGTTAGCTCAGTGGACTTTACTTCGAGGTTAACAGCTAAAGCATTCAGGACATTCCTCCATCTGGACTCTCTTTCAGTGTCTAAGCCTAAATGAATTGATTTATTGTAGGAAGCAGATGACAACATAGCTGCATAAAACAAGCTAAAAACAGACACAGGTCAGTTACTCACCCAGCATCAGACCCATTTCCACATAATAAGGGATCCTTTGCTCCTTCGAGTTTATAATAGTTTTCTAAAACATGGAAAAATAAAACAAAATTAATACTTTAATGCATTTCATGTACCAGCTGTCCCAGCAAACTTGCTTGATAACAGTTTTAATGGTAAGGGGTTTACTGTATAAGCAATATGGTGGATATTCCTTTTGTGTTTCTTCCTTGAGATTGGAGAAAAGAAAAGAAAAGATTGGAGAAAGAAACTCTGAAGTGTATGTACAGTAACAAACTGTAGTTTCAATTAAATTGGTCTCTGCATCATCATATTTCAAGCTTAAAAGAAAACAGATTTGTGTTTCCTTAATTTGTACGTTCCCTTTAACATTATCAGCAGCAAACTATTATCAAATTGCAAAAATGACACATTCACAGTACAAATAGAGGCAACTTTCATTAAAAGGCACATAACTGGAAATATTTTAAACCTTTGAAAGAAGCCCCTTACAAATAACCTGTATTTACTTAAATGTTAGTGGTAATGGCATCGTTGAGATAATAAGTGCCCTGAGGGGTAATATGAACCAAAATAACGTCACACAAGCCATCCATAAAATGGAAACTGAATTAATCTGTTGTTGATGTACTGTACTGTACACTGCAGGTTTTCAGGTAACTCATTAAAGCATTAGGACTGCACTTTCAAATTAAAAGACTGTATATAATCTGAGATTGAGATTACTAATGTGAGAAATTTGTTGTCCATCCCTCTCCCCTCTTTCCTAAGTAGACAGAGCACTCATTTTATCTTCCCTCATTTTCACAAGATTTCAGTTTCACTCTGTCCCTCTCCAGTGGTTAAGTACTTATAGGCGACTGGATTTAAGAGAGTTTGAGAGTACTTTGGCAATATTCCCTAACTGTCTTCAGCTGTCGGCATTCCTGTTTTCAGCATGGCCTTAAATGTTCTCCGTTATGCTACTACTCAATTGAGACTGAAAACTGCTATTCAACGTCATTTGTTTTAGATTGTATAGTCCAACACTGAAGGAGTGTGAGGTGTTAGACTGCGAGAGGAGAGATAAGAGACTTGCATCATGGACAGTTTTTCAGAAATGTGGTCAATGTTCTTTGTGGTCCTGAAGCTGCATGAACATTAATGGGATGGATAGAGGGAAGGTCTATCAAATTGATTTTCAGTTGTTTTTTCATATATTGTGGTAAGTGAAATACAGTATATTGACACTCATTGAAACCCTACTGTATGTTGCTTTTTAGACTTGCAGTATAATGCCAGGCAATTAAGCTATTCAGGTAAAAAATAATATTTGAAAATACTCCCCTTTGGCAGGGCAGTAAATAAGCATTATAGCATGCTCAGTAGCTCATGAGCGCTGCCCTAGTAATTGCAGCAAAATTCACTCTAATGTACGTGCCTGTCTCAAATGGTGTAGCTACTGTACATGAACAGATCTTCTCTTCCTATATTACATTGATCTTCTACCTCTCCTAGCAGAGCCTGATTACTACCAGCCAGTGTCCTTCATTCTCTGAGCACCCCAATCACTATTAATAAGTTCACTGTAAATTGGTGAAGATTTATTACTACTGTAAATGGGTCATCCAACAGACCTATCCGACACTGTTGGAGCCATTTCTCTCTAGGAATGAATGTTAGTTAAGAAGGCTAAGCTTCTTGATGAGTTTTATTTTTTGAATTGATTTAATTTTGTTTTATGCCGACACAGTTCGATGGTTTTAATACCAAAACTGCTTTGATAACCCTCTGCCCCACCCTAATGCTCAACAATATACTGTAGGCTTTAGTCATTATATAATACACATGAATTCTTCCAGTGACAACAAACATTCAGTTTTCATTGCAGCATGGTGATACACAGGCTCCCTCATTACAACAGGAAATCTCTTAAAACAGAAGTGCATTGGGATTATATAGAAGTTGCATTTCAGTTTTAAAAACATTTAATCTCATAGATTGGTAATCGCATGTTTTCCTCTTAGAGGGAGGCATATTTATATTAAATCTAAGCAACAGTGAAATATGAAAATCTCACTGAAAGTCACTTTGTTCTTACCCTGTACTGACACTGAAAGTGATTTTAAGAGAGCATTTGGAGTCAGACTAGTACCAAAAAGTAGTAAGTAATGGTTGATAAATATTTGTTGTTATTGCACAGTATTGCATTACAATACTATTCTGGGACCTTTATTTACAATGTTCAGCTTTTGCTTATAAGCAATCTATGCAGTAAATACCTGCCATGAAATGTTTGTCCTTATTGTTGACAATCTGTTAATCCAATATCATTTATTTTCTTCTGTTGTTCATTACTGAATTCTATAAGGTCCACTTCCACTACTCTATTAAACCCAAATATAAATGTCACACAATTAAGAATTATCACAAGTACTTAGTAAGGCACAAAATAAAATTTGATGCATGTATGACAGTAATTTCTACTAGCTTCAGAAAGTGGGCATAGTAGAAAAAATCACAGTATGACATACTGTAGATATCATCTACATTAAGAAGCAGCTTTCAGTGTTATGGTGTTTTTTAAGGTTGTGGTCTTTCACTGGTCAAAGTTATGTCATGCTGACTAGGCATAATAATAATAAAACAGATGTCCACAGCTGTTAATTTTGTCTTTCTATGTGTAAAACACAATTGGAAGCCTATTTAGATGCCTTTTAGAGCTACAGTACTTCACATTCACATCCACAAAGTTGTATATTTTTATTATTGCTAGATTTAATTCTGCTTGTGTACCGAGCAAAAGCATAATATACCATGTTGGTAAACTGCCCCCAGACAAGTTACTTTTTTCAGCGAATGACCCAATTCGAAGATTAAGCATAACACAACACCTCAATCACATAGGTCTCTGAGTTCTAGGTTTTTTTCCCCCACAGCAACACAAAGTGTGTGTACATAAAGTCACAACTCAGTCAGTCAAGTGTATGATGTTCATGTAATCTTCAGATGTTCTCATAACTGTTGTCTGAAAGTCCTTAAGGAGGAGTGTGACCATGATCTGAGTAGTGCTGGTGCTGTTACATTTGGACATCCAGAACGTGCCCTATCAATGACGTGCACTAATATGTTTTGCTGGACATCTGATCGAGTTTGCAACAGCCTGCTGGAACATTATAGCTAGAAACATACCTGATGACTCTTTACACACATCAGTCAATAATTGTTGCTTCACTATGGAAGGCACAGAGGCTTTCTTGTTTCTTAGTTTTACAAGACATAAACTGATTTGTGTTTCATATGCAATTCTAGGCAAATGCAACATACTGTATGTGAATTCTTCCATCATCAATTTAAATATGAGTTGTGTTAATTTGACATGCACACAATATGTTAACTAACATGTATATGGGTGATTTTTTCACTGCATTTTTATTTTTCGGGGTAGAATACAGGTGGCAGACACCAATTTCATTTAATATTGTAATCAGCCGTTAGGCTGAGCAATCATCTCTAGAGGATGGCCTTAGTTAGAAAACAATACAACACTCACATCCACATACTGTATAGCAGTACAACATTAATGTTTTTTCTGTTTCAAGTTAGTTAAATATAATTCCTTTTTATTTTTTCCTTGAAAATCTGTTTATATATATCCAATGTTATTTAATAGGGGCCATCAATCCATCTATTTCCTGATTAATTATAGATTATTAAAAGCAGATCTCTAAGATCACAAAGTCACAATAAGCATTGTCAGGGAAGAATCATTCTGTGAGAGTATTACTGTACTAGACCTTGAATGACAAATTTTCCCTTTTTATTTGATGACTTCCTGGATATTTTATGAGGACATCTAGGATATTTTAGGGATACTAAGACATCTGGTTGTAAATCACTGAATTATAATCAAGAACTACTTACCTTCATCAGAAATGAAGTCTTGGTAAGAGGGCCAGGTCTTATTTTTGCAGTAATAGTTAGTGCCATTAGTCGATGTGTTATGATAGCAGTCTGTAATATTTTGGACACATTTTTGCCGAAGGTTACCCATGAAGAGCTGGAGTCCAATAAGGGCAAATACACTGAGGCAAAACACTGTCAGAATCATCACATCTGCCAGTTTTTTCACAGACTGTATCAGAGCACCTACAATGGTTTTCAAGCCTGTAAAGGACAGAACGTACATTAATTTTGTGCATACCATGAAAAGTTCCACAGCCTCCAACAGAAATTAGAAAATGTGCATTAGAAAATCTAGTAAACACTATTTAACACTAAGAACAATATTTATAGAAAAGGGAAAACAGATGATGCTTGTAATATTGTAAACCTAAATGTTCAATTACCAGTGTGCAGAAAATATAAAGGTATCTTTAAAATGTTGAAATGGGAATGTCCACTATTTCTTTTCGACTGCTTCAAAGTCAAGGGCAAACAGCATGTTCAGCTGCCTGCTGTTTTGGAAAATTTAAGTTAAGATACAGAATTTAAGAACAATGCGTTCAGAGACAGAGTTTGGGCTCACCAGTTGCTACCCATTACGTAGAATCAAGACACACTGTGTCATCCTTTCATGTTTTTTGAGACTGAAAATGTAAAATTGCCAGCCCTCAGCAGAGAACACAATCTTCTGTTTATATGATAAATCTGTTGCACACACGGATTACAATCTTTAAAGCCAAGAGGCTTAAATGATTCTTTGGACCACTTTGCAAATACTGTATTATTGCTTTGGTAATGTCTGTATTTGTAGTCTCTATTCTGTATGTATGATCTGACTATCCATATTGCATAACTGCTTCATTTCTTTGGAAATGTAATCTCAAGTATGATTTTGATCAGTTCTAATTTAAATTGCTTAAGCACGTTTGCCTTCAAATGCAAATGTAGAGGAAATAAAATTTAATTTAGTCATGTGTATGGGAAATATGGATGCTTTTGCAGTTTACCTTGAAAGTTCCAATACACAGTACCATTTAAATGTACAGAGAATAATTATATTGTAATTATAAGAGATCACAAATGGTGAACATTATAAATAACTTATTGAGGGAGTATTCTCAACCACATCGGGTTTCATAATAAGTGGGAAAATTAGGCTTGTATAATATTTACTTAACTACTGTATGGGAACCTTAGTGGCCTGCATTTCATACTCCACATATTGAAACCATATTTATATTTTAGTGGTTAAAAATACAGAGAAGGTTCGAAATGTAAGCACAAAATTTGGACAGACAGCCATTTTGGTTAAAGCTGAAACCACATTTCTACATGTGTGCTGACTGCAGCGTAACTGGAAATATACATATTTATCTAAGTAAGGAATAAATTAGCCAGCTTTGCTAATTATCAATATCTGCAGTTATCAAGACATGAAACAGGTACATGGATAAGAAAAAGATCACTTTAAATAATGATTACAAAAAGAACCAGGCAAAGAAAAGGAGCATAATAAATTGCAGAGGTACTGTACATCACATATAGATTCGTTATAGAAATGTAAAGAGAGATGGAGCAAACTTATATTGCAAAAAATGGGGTCCGGTGTTAACTAAAATGGCAGCCTGATCTGCATAACAAATTAATGTAGCACCCACTGGTATAAAGGCCCAAAACCAAAACAAGCAATTAAATGTAAATGTATTTTACATAGCAATAGGATTCAATATGAATAGATAGGTATTCAACATGGATTTAGAAAAGGTACTGTACTGTGTTGTTTAATTAGCTTGTTTGTGTTGTCTGAACAAGCAACAGTAGAAATGGGTATAAACAAAACGTACATTTTGTCTTGCAAAACTATTCAGACCCTGTCGATGGTGTCTGAGTTTGTAATTTACGAAATGGTGCCTACGCATTTTTTTAATCTTAATACTTAATTAAAACCCTGAATGCTCACTGAAAACTCAATACTTTTAAGAGTAAGATAAATTCCACGAAACGTAAGCAAAACCTAAAGATAAAAAATTGAAATATGTTGATTGCAGAAGTAAGACCCGTGTAATTCATATTTTGTGAAATAGCTTTGGCAGTAATTACAGCCGCAACTCATTCGTCTTGGCAGACTTGCTAAAACCCTCTCAGGTTGCTTGAGGATCACTAAGGACAGCAGTTTTCAGGTCTTTCAACAGATTATCAATAGGATTGAAGTCAGGACTTTGACTGGGCCACTCAAGGGCATTTCTCATTCTTAAGCCACTCCAATGTAAATTTGGCCTGGTGTTTTGGTGTTCCAGTTTTAGGTCTGAAGCATGTTTTCCACATTCCATCATTCATGATAAGTTTCTCAGTCCTTGTTGATGAGAAGCAGAGTTATAACATAATATTGCCACCACCATGCTCAACAGTAGGGATGATGTTGACTAAGTGATATATTTTTTTTCAGTTCCATACGATGCCCCCTTTTTAGAATGACTGGGGATATTGTTGTTCCATGAACATTTCCTGCCATCTCAGCCACTGCACTACATAAGTCTACAAGGAAACATAACCAGTTTCTCCTTGCCCAACTGCTCAGTGTGGTGGAACTGTGTGATGTAGGCAGTGTCCAAGTGCCTTAATGATTGACTTCACTATGCTCGAAGAAATATTAAGGGTCTCTGAAATGTTATACCTACTCCTGATCTGTGCCTTCACTTTATCCTTGAGTTGCTTTGAAAGTTCTTTCTTTTATCTTTTTGGTTGCGTCTGTGCTTAAAATGCAATACAGTATGTGACCGAAGGGCTTTACAGGGACACATTTTTAGTCTGAAACCACTTTATTGTGCACAGACATCACTCAAATGATTGTGTTCAGTGTTATAGTAATTTGTGCAAACTAATTGAGGTTTGCCCCAGCAAAGTGCTTGGATACTTGCAATTATGCCTTTTCAATTTTTACATTCATATTATCTATTTACTTTTTGCTTAGAAAGTGTGCAATAGGTTGTGTATACAGTATAACAAATACTAATTGTTACTTCAAAGAGTCATGATTACAGACATTAAAGCAACACAATTTGAAAACTGTGTAGATCCGAATACTTCACAATACACTGTATATTAAGGTTTATTTAGACTTTCATTCAGTGTATGTATTCAGATAATGAACTGGCTAATTTATAGTAAAGAATACACATAAGGAATGACTGCTGAAACTGTGGTGATGTCATTAGCAGAGTAGAATATAAGCTTAGGGATCTACATTAGAAGTGCAGTACCTAATTTATATAAATGATTTCAATTCTGTATTTGGTAAACTAGTCAGGTTTGCCAATTTTAGTGAAATGTAAATATAAGCATACAGTGAAGAAGCTACAAAGAAAATTCAAAAGGACGAAAACAAAGCAAGCATCTTACAGTTATCATCTAATGTAAACAAGTGCACATCGTTAAAATATAATCAATATATACTGTATAAGAGAGCAATCGGTGTACTTGAAGGAGTGACATAAAAAAGACGTGTCTTTTGCAGACAATGCATTAAAGGCATAGAAAAGCAAAACTTTGTAGAGGCATGTTAAACAGCAATTACAGCTACAAGTTGTTTTGGATAGGTTACTACAAACTTTGTACACCGGGATGGTGCAATTGTCACCCATTCTTTTATGAAATTCTTTTATGATGTCAATTTGTTTTTTGATTTCCATTTTTCTTTTCTGCATTTAACTTCTCGCACCTATAAACAGCTGCAGTGTGAGCATTCATTTAAAATATTTTATAATGCTATTTACAAAATGTACACATCATTTGCAATACAAAAAAATGTAACATCATTGGAAGGATGTGATTTTCAAGACGCTATAAGATTCACATATCAAGATATTAAATTAAAGGGCGTTATTTTAAAATGATTAATAAATCATATAATGCACCAGCCAGACCGCATTTGCAAAACAAATTGGTCGTCATATTAAGAAAATAATATTTTTCGCCCGGCTTTAATGCAGAAAAGTGCAAATGTAAGCTCCCCCTGTTTAAAGCAACATCCTACTCTTAGAGCCTAAAATAACTGCATCTTTTTAGTCTGGAAAAGCGAACAACACAAGGGAACTTAATTCAAAGTGAACTCAGTGGACTTCGAAATCTATTGTGAAACATTACCCAGAGGACTCCAGAGGACGTTACTGTACAGGGAAGTCATTCTAAACTAAGAAGAGGAGGTACTTTTTATATAAAAGGTTTGGAAGTTGGAAACAAGCTGCTCAGCCATATTGTCAATGTTGATATCCTGCTGTGCATCTTATAAGGAATGGCTGAATGGCTGATTGAGACTTTCAGATCATTTACAGTAGCTATATTCATTCAAATGAGCAAGACCTGAAAACTTCATTCTTTTGTAGAATTTTTCTTATTTTCATATATACTTTATGCATTTATTGGCTGAACAATCCTTGAAAAGGAGATAACTTCATGGTGAGTGAGAAAATTATCCCAGCATCATGTGAGGTTAAAATCAGAAGCAGCTTTGAGTTAAAAAACATATTTTGAGTAGGTGCAGGTTGCATGATGGAATATATTCTCAAAACAGTTTATGACCCATCATTATTGTTGCAACTATTCAGGCAAACACTAGATTTAATTGATGATGACATCTGCTAAGTTTCATTTCAGTCAGTGCTGAGGTGCACAGGAAGATTTTGAAAGGGTTTTGAACACGTGAATAAGGTCATCATCTTAGTTGACACAGGATCCCAAGTTTTGTCAAACATTTAATGGTTTCTCTGTCCCAGCACATCTGTGTCATATGATGTTGTTCGGCTGTTCAGTCTTCAAACATAAGTAGTTTCAGTGGTGGGGAAAAACACTTAATAATTACCATACACAACTGTTTAGAAGGCTTCCAAGCAAGCGCATGCCCTCTTACTTCAACACTGGGAGAAAAGTGTGATACAACTAATGGGAAACTAGAATGGTACCAACCGACTATTGATTTCACTAGATAGAAAGTTTTTGAAGAACAGAATTGCATGTTGGACATTACGTGTCTAGCTAAACAGGTGATGTTGAAAAAAAAAGTGTCATTGCAATATATGAAATGCAAATTTGAACCAGGCTGAATTTTAATCATGTAATCTACTGTACCATGTATCAATTATTATCACAATTATCAATCAGCAGTGCAGTTCCTAAGATAGCAGTAGAAACAGCAGTAGTTTTAAGTTTAAGAACATAATGGTCAA